CACCAGGAGTTCAGGTGAAGCTTGTATGGAGGGCCTGGGAATGTGGCTTTGAGGGGCCAATGAGACATTCAAAACCAGACATTTATCCAGCAGGGTAGTGGTCTGGGCTGAGGTACAGGTATGGGAGCCACGAACATAGTCATGGAAACCTCTGCAGGGCAGGTCGTCTGGGAAGGTATTTGGACCACACAGGCAGTGCTCTGAAGTCAGAACACTTCAAGTGCAAGCCTGTCACCATGGTGATAGGTACATATTTGCTCAGGGACTTACGTGTGCATTCGACCGGTGAATGGCGAGCACTTGCCACATGCAAAACACTGTTGGTGTCCAGGATAAAATCTAATGGTCCTCAAGCAGCACACGATCTAGCCCAGCGAGTCGCAGCCTGGAAGTCCCCTCCCTCCCCCAGGGATACTGGCAATGTCTGGAGGTACTTGGGTTGTCACTCTGAGGAGGAGAGGTGGCTCCCAGCACTGGGTAGGCAGGGGCCAAGGGTGCTGCTCAACACCCTGCTGTGCACTGGGCAGCTCTCACTCCCTCGGCGGGGTGACCTGGTCCCAGAGACAGGAGAGCCCAACCTACACTGAGAAACGGTACATGTTCTGCAAGACTGGAGCACCGTTGCCTTCTGCAAACTGCTTTGTAACTTGTCAACTTGGCTACGCCACACTCCATTCCCCAAAGTCCCCTTTCCTGTTGGGGAGCAGCCTGAGAGCGACTGCGGGAGCTGTGGGGGCAGAGGGGAGCAGCTTGGGGCTCAGCCCGCCGCCCACGTGCGGCCCCCCTGACCGCAGGCAGCAGCTGGCCGACAGTGTTCATGTCGGAGCTCCCTCAGCCTCTCTGGCCGGCAGGGAGTGGGTTCAGCTCTGACCAGCTTCTCCAGGACCCCAGCAGGGGGAGGGACTGACGTGGGTTTCAGGTCATCCTCACGGGCTTCAGCTCCTGCGTGCAGGGCAGCTGTCCCTGCTCCCACACTTCACACCACCTCCGTCGCTGATGCCCGCCCCGCGGACGTGCAGGGCCTGCGTCAGACACCACAAGTCTTCCAGCGACTGAGAAAGTCATTCCCGAAACCACTGGCGGCAAGTCCTTGACACTGACATGAGTGTCCCACCCCTGACTGAACCCAGCCTAATGTTAGGTCAAGGTCGCGGTCAGCCTATTGTCTCTATCACAGGACAAAGGAACCCTGTAGAAAGACAGATGTTTTCTCCCTGGGGCCCGATCAGTGGTCCTTTCCGATGAATCGTTCTAAACCCTGGGCTTATGTTCTACTTTCTTCCCCTCTTCTTCCTCTTCCATCTCCTTCACGTCTTCCCTCTTCTCTCTTTCTTTAGTCCTATCCCACCTTTGGATGAGTCCGCTCCGTGGGTTACAACATGTGCGGCAGCTCTCTCCTGCACGGGCCTGTGTGCGGGGACACTTATCCGGGGCTTGTTGGCTCAGTATGTTCACACTTCCTGTGTCCTTTTCATGAGACCACCACACAGGCCTCAGTCATGTCCTGCTGCCACCTGGGTCTTTGTCCATGGAGGGAGTATGAGGTCATAACTGGGAGACCCCCATGGTGTTGGGATGGTCCATCTAACCACTTGTTTTCAGGTTGGTTTGTTCTTTCTGTCCCCCTTCTGGGGAGCCCTCCTTCAGCTGCTCAGAGCAGGGCTGTCCTCACTCCTGGGCAAAGCCCTAGCAGGCGGGCTTGGCGTTGTGCTCACGGGCCCAGGGGAAGGCTGAGGCAGGGCATGGACAGCTCGGTTAAAGCCCAGCCACGGTGCTCCGAGTGGGGAGCCACCTGCAGTTCCAGGAAATCCAGTTGAAACTTCCACATTCAGGGATCTGTCACGGATCCGCGAGATCCTTTCAGCCCCTCATTCAACTTGCAGCTCTGCTGCCCACTTCCTACTTAGTTTGGCGACTAAGTTTGAAAATCTTCCTACAGTTTATTTCAGGGCCAGGAACACCACGTACCCAGCCAGGGGGTGCAGGAGAAAGAGACATGGGCTCTGGGCACCTCCACTGACGCAGCAGATCTTCGGGTGCCTACTAGGGGCTAGGCCCCTTGTCAGTCCCTGGGTGTCACCTCGAGTCACACACTGAGCTCGCCTCAGCAAACCTGTACTCCAGAGTCCAAGAAGTAAGTCGTGATGTACTCAATAAAGCAAAGCAGAGTTAGCAGCTCACGTAAGAAAAAGATCTGGACAGCTTCATCACCAGCCTTGAGTTCTGTGAGTGTCTACAGGAGCATCTACGTAGGAAGGGGAGAGTCAACCACACCCTTTGTTTCCTGACGCTTCCTTCTAAGCCATCTTGTCCACGGTAAGCTAATTTTCCTAATTTCCTGGTACCTGGTTTTGAAAGACGGCTTGGTGTGTGAAGACTTGTCCAAGACATGTGCTGCTTCTCTGTGTATAAAATAATGAGATTGGATTTGATGATGAATACAGATCTTTGCTTCTGAAATCTGCATCAGTGAAAACCCCTAAGTAAGGAATTGATGCCTCACCCACATTCTTGTTTCCCCATCAAAGCAGCGGGGTCGGTGAATCGGTCCCAATGATCTGAATCTCCGGCACACAGTGACCTGTATCAGCAGTTGCTGGTTTGGCATTTGCTACATTGTATTAACATGACTTGGTAAAGTGTTAGTTCCCGGTGGGCTCTGACTCCTTTTCGTCCCTGGTACCTGCCAGTCTTTGGTCTAGTCAGTGGTGGTTCAGAGTGGCTGGTTTTTAGCATTCTCTGGTGAGCTTCAAAAACTAAGTCACACACGAAAGACAGACTTCCACGCCTCGGGCCTCAGTTTGCAGATGTAGGTCTACGCTGGGGCTCAGGAATCTAACGTTGGAACATTTGCTGGGTACTCTGGGGGTCAGCCACATTTGAGAACCAGCGGTCTAAACTGATTCGAAACTGTGTGTGCGCGCGTGTGTGTGTGTGTGTGTTCCCCCAAGGAGACTGTAATGGTACCTGCCTGCCCTTCCCTCTGTTAAGTGCCAGATTTGACCTCTGATCTCTGAGTTCTCATTGCAGTGAGGGCAAAATGAAGAGACGTGTAACTTCTGCGGCGGTCCCCCCGGGGCCAGCACTCAGGGCTGATCGGTCACTGCGTTGTCAGCGGCGATGGGGAGCCTAGTAGTCAGTGCGCATGTCAGCTTGCAGGTGCAGAGGTGAGACTCGCTGGCTTGTAGCCCCTCTGAGTCCTCGGCTTGTGCAGGAGTCTTGCTGACAACCCCACAGGCCTCTTGGCTTCACCCTTTCAGACGTCAACAATTCTTGGATGACTTCGAGCAGTCCTTTTGCAGATGGGGAAACTGAGACTTAGGAAGTACCTTCCCCAGGATCCCCAAGCTGGTATGTGGTGGGGTTTGGAAGTTGGAGTTTAAATTCACGTCAACACAATGGATTTAACTCCACTTTGGTGCCTGACTCATAAAACCAAAGTTAATGTCATCATATAACACACAGAATTAATAATGACTATGACATGAATCCTGGGTACCCGGCTGACAGGTTATTACCTAAGTCAACTTTTTTTTTATTTTTTTTTATTTTTATTTTTTATCCTCACCCGAGGATATTTTTCCATTTTTTGTACAGATAGAGTGGGAGGGAGAGAGAGGAAGGGAGAGAGAGAGAGAAACATCGATGTGAAGGGACACATCGAGTGGCTGCCACCCGCACGACCAACCAGGGCTGGGGACAAACTGCAACCGAAGTACGTGCCCTTAGCGGGAACCGAACCCGGGTCTCTCCGGACCGCAGGCCGACGCTCTAACCGCTGAGCCAAACCGGCCAGGGCTAAGTCAACTTTTTTTTTAAATGTTGTTTTTGTTTGATCAAAGGAGGCGTTTGTAGAGAGGTGAAAAGAGGGTGTGATTCATTCAGCCTCCCGCCCCTCCTTCTCGAAACCACACCGTCTTTATTATATTACCACTGAATTATGATTTTAATTTAATATACGTAAGGAAACGCTTGCTCACGATGGCAGGCACAAAAAGACTAGTTACAGGTCACTCGAGCGCGTTAGCCAAAAGAAACCAAATAAAAATTATTTATGATACATCAGTTGCTTTTTTCCCCCTCATAAATCTGGAAAAGAAAATTGGTCTTGGTTTCTCATTTTTAATGTGCTTCCTTCCTGTGAATTATGTAAAACTTCCACGGACATAAACACCTGTACATACAAAGAAGCAGTGTGGCCGTATGGGCGACCTCCGTTTTCCATTCTTCAAGGAAAAATCGTGAAAGATCAGCTATTTACCTGCGCTCCAGCTCTGACAGGAAGCTCATTTGAAAGATTTATGCATCTAACTCACGTGGGCAACCTGTTTCTTACTGGAAACTGACATAAAGCTCCGAGCTGAGCTAAGCTGGTTGGAAGGGAGAAGGGGCGACTGTCCCTCCCTGAGCTTTGACAGATGGGAAGCAGGTGGACACAGACAACCCCATGGAGAGAAGATCAAGTTTAATGTATCTTCCCACATGCCATCGAGTTAGAGAAGGTCATCAGAGGTTCAAACTCGTCCATATCGCTGGAAGGTAGAAAAATTTAATTATATTATTATTATTGTTATTATTTTGCTTGCTTTCCCTATTCCTTCTTCCTCCCCATCACCCCTGTTCTACCGATTACTCCCCACCTTACTGCTTGCTTACACTCTCCCTCAGTGATTCTCTCCCCTGCCCCCCACGGAACTCTCTTTCTCATCTGGATCATCAATGTCATCAAAATATAGGTTTTGCATTTGCGTGTTCTTTTTTCCTGAAGTGTGTTCCGTATGTTACTTGGCAACTGTAACCCACGGAGCAGCTGTAGCTGGGAAATGGTGAGAGCACTTGGGGCTAGACCGGGATGTGTCACTGCTGCCTATATGTGCACACGACACATGCCCACTTCCTGGGGACTTGCACGTGCCGTTGTTGTATATTTCTGGATGTGTACACAGTCCTCTGCCTGCAGGACCAGGGCCAGCGGGTGTGAGGCTACAATCTGCTCGGCTTCAGCCCGGGTACGTGAACATGCACAGAGGGCAGACCTGGTTCCAGCAACACAAGGGCGCTGTCCCCTGGGCCGACGGAGGGGCCTGCCTGGCAGGTCCAGCCCGGCTCTGGTTTTCTGTGGCTGCCAACGTGTCATTGCCCTAGCGTGGGAGGCCAGCCTTGGTGTCCCAGCCTGCGGGGTCAGGTCGGAGACCCCACTTACCCCGCAGCAGCCTGCGCACAGGGTCCCTAGGAGGCCGTTGACCACCTGGATGGCGCAGATGACCGCCTGGACCACCGCTATGACAGCCAGGATGGAGAAGAGGGTCAGGTTCCAGGACACCACGTTTCTGGGCTCCTCACACTTGCTCCATAAGGACTTGTCACTGAGGTAGTCTCTGTCGGGAGCACAGGAGAGGAAGGAGACATCTATAAAAGGTAGGCGATACCCTAGACTACAAAGGCACCATAAAAATTTATCTTTTGAAACACTTCCTATCTAAAACATAAGCTCAAGAAGACATATATTGCATAATATCTATATTTTTGAAAACAATACCTAACATTTCTCAAAAAATTTTTTTTTCTTTATTTTTTTTTTAGAGAAAGAGGAAGGGAGAGGGAGAGAGATAGAAACATTGATGAGAGAGAACATTGATGGGTCGCCTCCTGTGTGCCCCACACTGGGGATCGGGCCCACAAACTGGGCATGTGCCCTGACTGGAAATCAAACTGGCGACCTCTTGGTGCAGGGTCAGCGCTCAACCACTGAGCCACACTGGCCGGGCACATTTCTCTTTTTTTTGTAATTAAAAAATTTTTTTATCTTTGCTGTTGAAATTATTACAGATGTCCCTCCATTTTTCCCCAATTGACACCCCCCTCCTCCCCACCCCACACCTTCACCACACTATTGTCTGTGTCCATTGGTTATGCATCTATGTACAGAAGGTCTTTGGTTTATCTATTCCTGCTTCCCCAACCCGCTTCCCTCTGAGGTTTATCAGTCTGTTTCCTACTTCCATGTCTCTGGACCTATTTTGTTCAATAGCTTATTTTGTTCCTTATATTCCACAAATAAGTGAGATCATCTGATACTTGTCTTTCTCTGACTGGCTTATTTTACTTAGGATAATATTCTCCAGGTTTCTCCATGACATCTCAAAGGATGAGAGATCTCTCTTTCTTACAGCTGCATAGTACTCCATTGTGTACATGTACCACAGCTTTTTTATCCATTCGTCTACTGATGGACACTTGGGCTGTTTCCAGATCTTAGCTATTGTAAATAGTGCTGCTATGAACATAGAGGTACATATATTCTTCCTGATTGGTGTTTCATGCTTCTTAGGGTATATTCCTAGAAGTGGGATCACTGGGTCAAATGGCAGTTCAATTTTTTTTTTTTTTAATCATCCTCACCCGAGGATATTTTTCCATTTTTTTGTACAGATAGAGTGGGAGGGAGAGAGAGAGAGAAACATCGACGTGAAGGGACACATCGAGTGGCTGCCACCCGCACGACCAACCAGGGCCGGGGAAAAACTGCAACCGAAGTACATGCCCTTAGCGGGAACCGAACCCGGGTCTCTCCGGACCGCAGGCCGACGCTCTAACCGCTGAGCCAAACTGGCCAGGGCGGCAGTTCAATTTTTAATTTTTTGAGGTAGCACCATATTGATTTCCATAGTGGCTGCACCAGTCTGCATTCCCACCAGCAGTGCACTAGAGTCTCCTTTTCTCCACACCCTCGCCAGCACTTGTTGTTTGATGATTTGTTGATGGCGCCCATTCTGACAGGTGTGAGGTGATACCTCATAGTCATTTTAATTAGCATCTCTCTGATGCTTAGTGACATTGAGCATTTTTTCATGTCTCTTGGCCATTTGTATGTCCTCTTTGGAGAAGTATCTATTCAGATCCTCTGCCCATTTTTAATTGGATTGTTTGGTCTTCCTTTCGTTGAGTGATATGAGTAATTTATATATGTTGGACATAAATCCCTTATCTGATGTATCATCAGCAAATACATTCTCTCATACAGTGGGTTCCCTTTCCATTTTGATGCTGGTTTCTTTTGCTGTGCAGAAGCTCTTTAGTTTGATATAGTCCCATTTATTAACTTTGTTTGTTTGTTTCACTTGCCCTAGGCAGTGTATCAGTGTAAATTCTGCTTTGTGTGATATCTGATATTTTGCTGCCTACATTTTTTTCTAGGATTTTTATGGTTTCACGACTTACATTTAAGTCTTTTATCCATTTTTTGAGTTTATTCTTGTGTATGGTGTAAGATGGTGGTCTATTTTCATTTTTTTGCATGTAGCTGTCCAATTTCCCCAACACCATTTATTGAAGATACTATCTTTACTTCATTGTCTGCTCTTGCCTCCTTTGTCAAATATTAATTGAGCATAATGTGTTGGGTCAGTTTCCGGGTTCTCTGTTCTGTTCCATTGATCTATATGCCTGTTCTTGTGCCAGTACCGGGCTGTTTTGATTACAGTAGCTTTGTAGTAGATTTTTGGAATTGTGATCCCTCCTACTTTGTTATTCTTTTTCACAATTGCTCTCGCTATTCAGGGTCTTTTTTGGTTCCACATAAACATTTGGAATCTTCGTTCTAGATCTGTGAAATACGCTTTTGGTATTTTAATAGGGATTGCATTGAATCTATGGATTGCTTTAGGTAGTATGGACATTCTAATGATGTTGATTCTTCCAATCCATAAACATGGTATATGCTTCTACTTATTTATAACTTCCTCTATTTCTTTTTTCAATGTGCTGTAATTTTTTGAGAAGATGTCTTTTACCTCCTTGCTTAAGTTTATTCCTACGCATCTTAGCCCTAGCTGGTATTGGCTCAGCTGTTGGGGCGTTGGCCTATGGACCAGAGAGTCCTAGGTTCAGTTCCCGCTAGGGGCACATACCAAAAAAAATATATATTCCTAGGCATCTTATTTTTTTTTGTTGCAATGGTAAATGGGATTGTTTTTTTTAGTTTCTCTTTCTGTGTGTTCATTATTGGTGTATAAAAATGCCACTGATTTCTGGACGTTAGTTTTGCATCCTGCTACTTTGCTGAATTCATTTATGAATTCTAGTCATTTTTTGTTGTTGAGTCTTTAGGGTTTTCTATGTACAATATCATGCCATCTGCAAATACTATACCTAACATTTCTGTAGACTATATACTATGTGTCAGGCCTTGTTCCAAATGTTTCATACTTATAACTATTTTAGTTTTTATAGAAGACTTGTGGTTTTTTTCTTCTATTTCACAGATAAGACGTTGAGGCACAGACAGGCTAAGTTTCTTGCCCTAGGTCACACAGCTACTCAGTGACAGAGTGACATTTGTGAGCTGACGGAGAGGATGGGTAAATACAGCATCTACTAGGGGCCAGGAAAACGAACATGCTTCAGGAGCAGAATCTCACACACGTCCCCGGCTTTATCCCACCTGCTGTCACTCGGGACCGCGTGGGTGTTTGATACAATTCTGTCAGGTCTAGTGGCCATCGGAAGCCCCCTGAAAGTACAATCGTGCCATGTAGTTACAGGGAAGAGCTTAACTTTTTAAAAGCCTAATTCTAGCCAAATTGTGAATTCGACTCAACCTTGTTTGACAACCTTTGTTTCTGATGAATTCTTTAGTAATTGGTGCACACTTATGCGAATATATTCGGTGTTGAAATGTGAAAGATGTTTGCAGTGATGAAGATGCATTGGCGTTTAGCCGTCAGAAGAACCAATGGAACGAGAGCTTGCTCTTGATTTCAAAGTGAAATGTTGTGTAGAGCATGGACCCAGCTTCCAAAAGAGCGCAGGTTCCAGGCGCTCCAGCTGTGTGGCTCATCGGTGAACCGGCAATAACATTGTCTGTGACATACTAGTAAAGTGCTGAGGACAGTGCCTGGCATATAGTAAGTGCTCAGTAAACACTAGTATTGTCCAGGCTGGTTTGGCTCAGCGGTTAGAGTGCTGGCCCTTGCACTAAAGAGTCCCGGGTTCGATTCCGGCCAAGGGCATGTACCTCGGTTGCAGTTCATCCCTAGCCCCAGGGTCGTGGGGGTGGCAACCAATTGATATGTCTCTCTCACCTCTCTCTCTCTCTTTCTCTCTTTCCCCCTCACACTCTGTCTGAAGATAAATGTAAAAATATCCTCGGGTGAGGATTAAAAAAATAAAATATAAAACAATAAACAAATGCTAGTTTTGTTATTATTTTACTCAATCTTCACTGTCTGGTCTAAAGGAGAGAGCCTGGTATTTTGGATTCGGATGGACTTGGGTTCGAATACAAGCTTTCCTGTAACGAGCGGTGTGCTCCTCATACAGTTGCTCACTCCCCTCCCCATCCCTTTCCCACCAGGCAGCATCAGTTTCTTCATCCATAAAATAGGCCGAAAACACCCTCTCCAGTGTGAGAATTCACTGAGATAATACACCTTATGTACTGTGTAAGACCTCTTTTTTTAAACATTGGTCTTTCTGTTCCACATTTTTCTATGCAGTCCTATCTATCTTTGCAGTTTCTACACTTCATGATGATAAGTTACCAAGAGACAGTATTTTCCAGGCACTTTAGGTAAAGAGAAGACCCTGAGATGAAGTGACTGGCCCCTCTGAGCTCCTCCCTGTCCTGAAGCCTGTGAGAGTGGTGTCCCGACAGCACCCCCTGGTGGGGAGAGCGGTACAGTGCACACGGGGAGCTTGGAAGCCAGGCTGGAGTTGGGTGCCTGGAGCAGTCACAAACCACCAGGGACGGCAGTTCCAGGCCCTTCTGTCCCGACTCTCAGGTTCGGAGACTCTCAGAGGCGCGGCAGTGACTGCTCTCCGTCCTCCGGGGAGAGGGCTCTCATTTCATGGACCGGGGGGCTCATCATGCTCCCACTCTCCGAGCCAGGGGAGCGGAGGCCGTGCACAGCCGCCCCCCTGAGCCCAGTGCACAGCGCCCTGTCCTCGGGAAGGGCACCTCCACGGGCGGCCGGGACCGTCAGCGCCGGACCGAGCCCAGGAGGCCCTGCGCCCATTGCTGGCGGCGGAAGGGGGGCCGGGCAGCCCGAAGGCTTTGCTGGCCCCTCTGCCTGGCTCCTGAGGTGCCACCCCCTCTTCTGGGACAGAGCGGGACGCTCCTCCTGCCCTCGGCGGCCCTGCCCCTCTGTGCTCCCCAGCGCCGGGGTGGTCGTCTGGGCACTGGGCTGTGTTCTCGGGGGCTGTCCCTCACACGGGCACAGACCACGGCCCTGCCCCCGCCCCCAGCTCGGGCACAGGGGGTTCCCGTGAGTAACAGCAGCTGCCACTGCTGTGACCTGCCGCGTCCGGCCCTGGGCCCGGGCTTCACATCCCCTCCAGCCCTCCCCGGAGGTCGCTGTCCTTGACCAGTCAATGCCGCACACGGTGGCCTTCGGGCTCAGTCACTGGGTGAGGGACCCATACGCAGATGAGGAAGCTGAGGCTGGAAATGGAAGTGCCCGGGTTTGAGCTGAGGTCTGTCTGTCTCCACAGCGAGCGCCCGAACCATCACAGCGCCCTCTGTTTAAGTACCTCATCTCCTTAGTCTCTCTGCAACATGACAGTGATCAAACACAGAGATGCATCTAGAATAGTGTGCCCATCAAGGGTTACCTACACCACGATAAAGAGATCATTCTTTTGACTGCTTGAAAAGATTCAAATCAGGTCACAAAATTATTATAAAAGCATAACATTTAGTCTGGTAGGTGTGGCTCAGTGATTGAGCATCGACCCTGCACCAAGAGCTTGCAGGTTCGATTCCCAGTCAGGGCACATGCCCAGGTTGTGGGCCCGATGCCCAGTGGGGGGCATGCAGGAGGCGGCCAATTGATGTTCTCCATCATCGATGTTTCTATCTCTCTCTCTCCCTCTCTCTGTCTAAAATCAATAAAGAAAACTGTTTTTTTTTAAACATAACATTTAAATTATTATAAATCTTCACCTGAAGATATGTTTATTGATTTTAGAGAGAGGAAGGGAGAGAGAGAAACACAGATGTGAGAGAGAAACGTTTATCAGTTGCCTCCTGTACATGCCCCGACCAGAGATCAAAGCCTCAACCTTTGGTTGTATAGGATGACGCTCCAACCCACTGACCCACCTGGCCAGGGCTAAAAGAATAACACTGTAGAAAGTTCTAATGCAAGTAATAAATTCCATTTATAGCAATGAATTGTTAATACATCTGTCATAGAGTGCCAATCAAGGTTTATTTATACCACGACAAGGAGATTATTCTCCTTGTATCTTCATTTGTGTACTTGAAAAGATGGGGTTAAATCACAAAATCATTAAAGGCACAGTTACCTGAAGCAAAACTTCAAGAAAAAGGATGTTTCTACTCTCTAAAGGGAGGTCATGCGAGCTGGGCAGGGCCCTTTGCGCCCCACGTGGGCGTGGGTGTGCGAGGGGAGGGTGGGGCTTCACGTGGCACAGTGAGACCACGCCCTGCCTGCCAGTGCGACCCGGGATCCCTGGTGTTCCAGTCTCCCATTGATTCGAACACAGATGCTCTCTACCAGGTTTTATATCCCTCAAGGACAGTGTCATTCACCAGACAAAGAGCAAACCTATTCGGACTGCGCTGATGATATTGTTAGAATTAATTAATAAGACAAGGGTCCTTGGAAGAAGACGTAATCCGGAGCTCACAGCCACACCCCGGGTGGGAGAGCCTGAGCCCCCAGGGGAAGAACCTCAGGAGGGGGCTCAGCCTTCAGGCGCCTGAGCCCTGTGCCCAGGCAGGCCAACCGCACCAGGGGCCCACAGCCTCGGTGCCCGGAGAGGACAGTGCCCAGCACGCTGCGGGTCCCTGCCTGTCCCAGGAGTGTACCAGAGGCCTTGCCTTCCTGTGTAACTGTAGAGAAGGAGGGTGACATTTCACGTGAAACCTGTGAACACGGAGACCTCGGATCCCAACAGAACCGGTACCGCCACCCCCTGCCTGAAGCCTGCTCGGAGCTTCTTTAACTTCTCACTGTAAATGAGTAAAGGGGTCGAGTCCATAGCTCGGGGTCCTGCGGATTTTCTAGCAATGAGCCTCCTCCGCCTGCAGGGGGACCTCACAGCCACCTCTCCTGACCTGCAGCTGTCATGGCTGTGCTGGGCGGGGCTCGGTGTGAGCAGAGCAGCCGGGCCCAGCCCTGGGGGTTCGAGTCCACCCAGCACCGCGGGGCCCTGCCGCTGGCCTGCCTGTGTCTGAGCTTCAGTCGTCACTACCAGCAGGTGTGGCCACCGCGGACTTGAAAGAGGCCCTGTGACTGCGGAATTCCCCGCTTCATGTCACTGACACGAGCTTCAATGTGGACAGCTCCACAGGCTCCGGCTGGGGCACCGGGCGGTGCGTGCAGAGGGGAAGGTGTCATAGAGGAGCCTGAGCCTGGGGGCAGGAGGGGTGAACTCGGGCCTGCCCCGCCCCACCTGGCTGCTGGCGCTGAGCAAGTCAAGTGCACTAAGCCTGGCTTGGCAGGAAGTACATGACCTTTTGGGGTTGTTACAGATATTAAATTATAATCTTGTTTAAAAAAACAAGGGAAAGTTTTAAAATAAATTACAAAGCACCATGGAAATACGGTGTCATTTTAATGAGTTCCATTAACATAAACTCTCGTGAAGAATGTACAATGTTTCCAATGTCATTAGCTACACATTTGCACCTTGAAACATTGTTTCATTCTGGGGATCCAGGGAAGCCTTCCAGCCCTGTTGGTGAGTAATCATTCTTGTTTCCTCCAGTAAGCTTTGCAATGGAAGCCGTGCTCTCTGTGTATCAATACTGTTAGTCGTCTCGTGTGTCTGCCAGGAACTTGGGGCGTCAGTGAAGACCCCGCACATCTCCCTCCCCAGGGCAGCCTAGGTGCCCCTTTCACTGTTTCTCCTGGTCTCTGTCAAAGCGGCTCTCGTGCCCCTTTGGTCCAGCGCACAGCCCAGCTCCGCCCCACAGAGCAGCGTGCCCGAGACTTGTACATCACGGTGACGGGAAAAGATGCTCAAGGTCAGTAATCATCAGGGGATGCAAATTAAAACCACCATGAGCCATCACTTCACACCTGTCAGAATGGCTCCCATCAATAAATCAACAATCAACAAATGGTGAGGATGTGGAGAAAGAAAACCCCGGTGCACTGTTGGAGGGAATGCAGACTGGTGCAGCCACTGTGGAAAGCAGTATGGAGTTTCTTCAAACTTTAAAAATGAAACTGCCTGTGACCCAGCGATTCCACTTCTGAGAATTTATCTTAAGACCCCGAAACACTAATTTGGAAGAATATATGTACCCCTATGTTCATAGCAGCATTATTTACAATTGCTAGGATCTGGAAATAGCCAAGTGTCCATGAGTGGATAAAAAAAAGCTGTGGTACATATACACAATGGAATACTATGCAGCTGTACAAAAGCAAGATCTCTTACCTTTTGAGACGACATGAAGGGACCTGGAGAGCATTATGCTAAGTGAAATAAGCCAGTCAGAGAAAGACAAGTATCACATAATCTCATTCATATGTGGAATCTAATGAACAAAATAAACTATCAAAGAAAATAGAAACAGATTCATAGATAGAGAACAGACTCATAGCTGGGAAGGTGAAAAAGGTGAAGGGATTAAGCAAAAAAATAAAAAACTCATAGACATGGATAACAGGTGATTACCAGAAGGAAGGGAGTTGGAGGGTAGAAGAGGGTAAAGAGGGGGTAAATAGTGATGAGAGGAGACTGGACTTGGGGTGTTGAACACACAATACAATATTCAGCTGATGTATTATAGATGTGTCCACCTGAAACCGATATAATTATACTAACTAATGATACCCCAATAAATTGAATGAAAAGAAAAAGATGACAGGGCATGTGCAGTTTCTCCCCTTGTCCACCTGTCTGATGGTGCCCCTTGTGGTGACAAGTGGGCATTGCAGGGTGTACCTTACCCATTGATGAAGGGGTAGCCCCACTGGCCACCGGCCATGAGACATTTCGGACCTCTTCTGATGGCGATGAGTGAGACCATGAGTGAGTACCCGGCACCCAATAATCCAATCCCAGCGAAGATTAAGGAAGAGAGCATCTGGAAGAGAACGAGAGAGACAGCACTGTTCTGACGTGGGTCTACAGGTGGTCTTAACGCAGGGCTGTTGCGGGCAGAAGCCAGTCTCACAGGAGACGGGGCCTCTGGGGTCTCCCAGAAGGATTTTGGTGTCCTGTCGCATGCAGGTTCTGCTTATGAGAAAGAGCAGAATTCTAGAAATCCTCCTCGTTGGGATCCTATTCCTTGAGATCGAAATGACTGTCTAACTCTCCTCCCTGCGGTGGCAGCCTTCAAAATATCTGTAGACATTTTATACCTTAGACATGTTTTATATTAAACATATCTCCACCTCTTCTACTCTATAAAAGTCTTCTCTTCTTTGGGCGAAACAAGCTCAACATTCCTGTTTAAAAGAACTGTTTTTATAGGACAGGGATTACTTAATGAAGCATCAATTCTATTAGCATCTTTTTATTTAATTATAAAATCAAAATAGAATTATCCAATGTGAAAGGCAGAAATAGCCCGGCGCACCTTTGACTGACTGACTCTTACAGATTAAAAAAAAAAAAAATAGAAAAAAAAAATTAGGCCCAGAGACACAATGTCCATCCTAAACAGTGATAAGAGAGGAGTGTGAAGCATTAATGATTTTGGAAACAGAGGTAGAAAATGATCACCTCAATTACTTTACTCCGGTGATGTGAAGGAGTACCGCAAAGCACATAATTTTAGCGGGAACCTTTTTTTTTTTTTTTTTAATCCTCACCCGAGGACATTTTTGCATTTTGTGTTCAGACAGAGCGGGAGGGAGAGAGAGGAAGAGAGAGAGAGAGAAACATCGATGCGAAGGGACACATCGAGTGGTTGCCACCCGCACAACCAACCAGGGCCGGGACAAACTGCAACCGAGTTACGTGCCCTTAGTGGGAACCGAACCGGGTCTCTCTGTACCTCAGGCCGACGCTCTAATCGCTGAGCCAAACCGGGCAGGGCACAAAGCACATAATTTTAATGTGGGTTTTTTTTAATCCTCATCCGAGGACATTTTTCCATTTCTTGTTCAGATAGAATGGGAGGGAAAGAGAGGAAGAGAGAGAGAAACATCGACGTGAAGGGGCACATCGAGTGGCTGCCACCCGCACGACCAACCAGGGCCGGGGACAAACCGCAACCGAGGTACGCGCCCTTAGCGGGAACCAAACCCAGGTCTCTCTGGACCGCAGGCCAACGCTCTAACCACTGAGCAAAACTGGCCAGGGCAATGTGTGTGTGTGTTTTTTTTATTATTTATTTTTATTTTTTGAGGTACGTGCCCCTAGTGGGGACTGAACCTGGGACTCTCTGGTCCAGAGGCTGGCTCTCCAACCGCTGAGCCAAACCAGCCAGGGCAAAGCACATGATTTTAAGTCAGCAGACCCAGGCTCAAATCTCAGCATGGCCACTTTTCTCTGTGGAGTGACTCTGCCTAATGCTGTTTCCTCCGAGTCTTAGTTTTCCCATCTGTAAAATGGGCACAGTAAAGCCCATCTGAAGGTGCCTTGGGAAAATTAGATGCGATAACCTAGGTCAAATGTCAGGCTCTTCCTTTCCCCTTGGTGTGTCACTAATAGTCTTATCGATGTACATTTAGAGAATGGGAGCTGGGGGTCGATCGACTGTGCCTGGGCATTTGAAATCTAGGTAATAACGGAGTTCCACCTTAGTTGGTATTTGTTTTCATATCATATATAAATGTATTTTGGGTGCAATTTTTTAGACTGAGCTCTGGCCCCGTGTGCCTTATGAAGCCTTGTCTGACTCCCCATACAGAACCTACCAATGCCTCCTTCCTGCCTCCGAGCCCCGGTACCTGACTGTCTAAACTTCTATCAGCACAGTGCCTGCAATACTAAGATGTGTACCTTTTCCTGTCTGTCTTCCCCACCAGAGCACAGACTCCTTGAAGCCATGGACAGTGAGTTATTTGAAGCCAGTTAGGACATTGTTTGGGTTTTCTGCTTCCTGGCTTATCAAAGGACAACAACCTATTGGATGATTTTAGTGGTTAAAATTTCATATCACTCATTATGTAGATTTTTTCCCCTGAATTTTTGTCTAGGGAATTCCAAATCCACGCTCACCTTCAAGAACATTTGTGAGTATACTCTAGGTCAAAAGTAAATGAAGCTTTTGGTCAATTTATCATATTAGAACAGACAGTCTCTTTTCCAAAAGATGTCTTATCGAATAATTTTGGAAATTGCTAAATTATATAAAGTTAAATCAATTTCATTCCTGTCATACTTCTAAGAAACTTTGTGACACGCTAGTGTGTGTGAACTTTCAGGAAGGGAACATACTATTAATGCAGAAATAGAAGAAAACTATTAGCTCCCAAATTGTCCCTCAGAACCGAGGGTCCTGCCGTAGGTGTGAGTCTCTATTTCATTGACCAGACACTAGGCACTTCCTCAGTGTGGATTCGAACAACCAAGTCCTGTGTGGGGAAGACATTTGTCAGATAGACCCCAGTTAATGCTGGTGACAGAACTGACGAACACAGTTTAACACGTTCATTAACGAGGAAAGTCGGCCTCTGATTCCTAGTGCTGGCTACTGTGGCCAGCAAGCTTCCCAAGGGCGTCTGGATGAGCACACGCAGTGTCACAGCTGGTGGTCGTCAACATGCACCTGCAGGGGAACCTGTGGATGAGGGGCTGGTCTCCGTGAGCTGACACCGTGACAAAGAGCAAAACGTCCACTGACAACGTGTGTTTGGACTGAAACGGAGGAGATGCTGGGGGAGCTTCAATGGCTCCCCAGGTGTCTTTAGTAGCAGCAAAGACGCGGATGTTAACAAAGCATGAATATGTTAAAGATGCATGCGTGGGGGGAAAGCCATATTCCAAAATCAACATATTAAAATTATTGTCTATTTTACAGAACATGTGATGCAAAATGAGCGTCTGCCCCTGCGACTTTGTATAGTCATGTTTGTTAAGAGCTCATTTGGAAACTTCTTTGTGGGACACGTCCCGTTAATTACTGCCTTCTATCGGGGTATATGCGGTACTTTTCAGAGTGGTCCAGTCTCGTGGAGTCGGTCCCTGTTTTGTGTGAGTTCCTGCCAGAGCTACTCCGGGAAAAGCTGCTCCACTCCGAGAGCTGGTCCAGCCAGTTCTCCGTCCCTGGGCCACCTCCGCGCTCCACCCCAGCGGCTGCTCGTCAGACCCCGATGGCGTTCCCCTGGGAGTGGCAGATGGTCCCAGCTCAGCCCCTGAAACCCCACACTCAGGTCGCACCTCCTCGCGCCCCTGCAGCCCCCGGGCACGCGTGGCCGGAAGGAGCTGGAGCGCTGTTCACCGCAGGGGTTGTCTGCACGGGAAACAGAAGCTGCGGGGAAGGGCTGCTCTCATCCTGACTGGCTCCAGGGATCCGAAGCCAGGATCCCCACGAAATAAATGGTTAAGTATCTTCACGACTACGTTTTTGTTAAAAAGGAGGTCTCAGAAACCATCTCTGCCCTCCCCTCCCCTTCCACGAGCGCCGTGGCTGCGTGGTCTCATCGCCTGTTCCCAGCACACCTGCCAGGTGTGTGATGCACATTTTCCAGACGGAACACGGAGGCGACTCGAAACCAAAGGAATCGCTCTGAGCCCGATAGTCCGGTGGTGGGACGGGGATGACTCCATGGCCACTGTTTCCGAAGCCCAGGCTCTGGGCTGGAGACCTTCTCAGTCCCTTGTCAAGAAGGGGCCGAGCTCGATGATGAGTTGGGGTCTCCTCCCTCCCACCCGGGGTCCCGCACCCGCCACTCCTTCAAACACACGCGCCGGGCACACCGCCCGCGCCGGCCGTCTGCTCCGCAAGGAGCCCCGTGCGTGGCCCTGGTCCGGCTCAGAAGTCAAGGGGCCTGCGAGGGAAACATAGTGTTTCGCTTACTTGACTTGAGTCTTAGTGATCAGTCAGGAATGATTAAACCAGGGATGGAGATATTAGGGTATCTACAATCACTGTCCTGAGAAAAAGTGTAAAATAGCCAGCAGAAACTTCCTCTGCAATGAAGCCGGGAGGTCAGGGAGGCCGCCGCTCTTGCTGCAGGGACAGGGGCTCCTGCAGCTCGGGCCCTGGGCGTGGTTCACCATCAGGCTGCAGGTCTCCGGTTTCACGTTTGTGTCGTCTCCAAATCAACCCGTTTGCTGGAGAAATATCTGTCTATCTTTTTAAGGTCAACAAAAGATTGTATTTGCAGGAAGACAGTTTGGAAGTCTGAGGAGACCTGGCCCCCAGCCCTCTCAGCATCACCCAGGCTCCCAGCGCCCTGCCTCAGCCTCCTGTGGGAAACAGGAGAACGTGGTGGAAGGGTCTAGAAGGTCCCTTCAGCTAAAGCAACCCAGGGTTTGAACACCCACGGGCCAGCACGAGAGGAGACTGGCTCGTGCGGTCCTGCTGTGGGCTGGGGAAGTGCATCCTGGACCTGTGAGCAGACAGCAGCGCACACCCAGCGATCGATGCAAAGGCGAACCTCCCGCGTTTTAGTTAAGTCTGAGCGTAGCGGTCATGGGCGTGAATAACAGGCATCTGTCTGAGTGCTGGTCACTCCCTGTGACCTTGGCAAGTTCATCTCTCTGAGGCCTCCACCTCCATTCTGCGAACAAGGTCAGTAATGAGTACTGCCTGAGGGAGGCCATAACACGTAAGATCGTCAGAGGTACATGCTCTCGAACATCAGATGAGCCCAGGTTATTATCTAACAGCCCACCCAGTACCTCACTGATAGGATACCCAGAATGCTCTATTTCCAAGTTTCAGATAATTTCCATGTCATTAGCAAGCATTTGATACACGTTATTCTTACCATGTAGTCTTTTCATTATCATACCCTCCCATACTCTTGTTTTCCACAAACACAGTTGTGCCCAGAGAGCAGTCTGTGCAGGAAAAGAAAAGCAGACAGGCTAACTCTCTGGGTGTTCAACACGCCTGTCCTGGCCACACTGATAAAGACAAGTGTTTAGCCCGGCCGGTGTGGCTCAGTGGTTGAGCGTTGACCCTGCACCAAGAGGTCGCCAGTTTGATTCCCGGTCAGGGCACACGCCCAGGTTGTGGGCCCGATCCCCAGTGGGGGACATGCAGGAGGCAGCCAATCCATGTTCTCTCTCATCGATGTTTCTATCTCTCTCTCTCTTCCTCTCCCTTCCTCTCTCTCTCAAATCAATAAAGAAAACAAAAGTTTTTTTTAAAAAAAATATGTTCGTGTATCTGCTCTAAATGCTTCCCTTGGGATGGAAAATTAAAATGCCCTCCCTCTCTGTCGGCCCTGGAGACAGACCCCTCGGGATTGGACCCCAGCTCTGTCCCTGTCCGAGGTGGGTCCTTGGTCAGGTGTGGACTGATGTCTGCTGAGCCAGAGGGAGGAGGCTCTGGCGGCTGGAGAGGGAGGAAAGGGGGTGGTTTGGGGACATGGTGTTTAGAGACTTGGGTGGTGGCAACATGTTGGAGAAACATATCTGGTGGGCATAGAGTTTCCTCCTTAGCAATTATCCTGAGAGCTATAAAGAGATTACCTGAAGGGTTTCCCCCTTAAAACATTAACTTCCTGTATTTTCTGCCTCGGCCAGGCTGGGTGTGGGGTGTGCACTCAGGAAGTTAATGTCATGTGCCTCAGATTCCTTGTTATAAAGTGGGGTGTTCAATGCCTAACCGAGAAGAATTTGTGAGAATTGAGCCTAAAGGTTTGGAAATCACCTGACATCCCTCCTGAGTGTTTTGCTCTCTTGTGATGCCCCCTCACTCCTACCAGCGTGCTTGTAGTTAATTGCATTTTGCCAACAACCGGCCCCCCCTCCCCAACTGAAAGAGCAGGCAAGTATTAATAAAACAATGTTGCACAGGCAAGGGTTAATGAAACAATGTTGCACAGAAACCCAATACTCCTTGAACACCTGGAGGGCACTGCTGTGAGCCTTGGGAAATAACTCAAGTCTTCCCGCATGAGAGCACCGACCAGATGATGCTACAGCTTTCTTCAACTGACACACGTGTACATACTGTCTTCATGGAACGGCACTGCTCCATCCAGATTCTCCAACAACAGGGGGACAGGGCTTCAGAGCAGGGCACTTGACAATGGCTGGGGGTGGGGGTGGGTAGCACCGCTAAACCAGGGGCTCAGCCTTGCCCAGTGTGGGCTGTTCTGCCAACATGCAGGCCCCCCAGTACCATGGTACATTTTTAATTTCTGAAAAAGAAGTATCCACCTAGTTCAGTGAAGTCTATTTGGAACAGTTGGCCGCTGATTACAAAGAAACAAACCAGAAGAGTAAACGCTTTTGCAGGCATCCCAGAGTGGGTGGTCCCTGGCCCAGGGCCGCGTGCCTCAGTTTACACACTGGCTTGCCTGGCCCTCTGATGGGCACTGGCCCTGTGGACTGTCACTTGGAGATGTCATCCTCCACTTACACCAAGGGCAGATCCCACGGGGTGTGGGGCTGAGGGGCTGAGGGGAGCTCAGACCGACACCTCGGATTGGGCAGAACAGACGTTTCCGACCCTGTGGAACCAGCTGCACGTGTACAAGCAGGAAGTTTCCACCTTGGTCTTGGACCTCACTGAGATCTCATCAAAAAACAAGCTTTGCAAATACTCGGCATGTTATTTCCCTTTTCACTGTGGTTATATAAACCTAAAAACAAGAGAAACAACAACCCTTGTTTTAACAGGCTTATCTTCACCTCTATTCAATACCAGGGAATGAGCTGGTAGACTCCAGCAGTCAGTCTTTCTTCTCTTCACCCAATTCCCTTAATTGCTCTTTGCTGCCCAAATTCTCATCTTCAACTTATTCCCGGAAAGTCTTCCAAGTAGAACAGGGTTACATTTCAAGCAGAAAATTAGTTATATATTTCTTCCTATCTGAATTACATTAAAAATCACGTTATAAATCACACATAATATAATTATATGAAATAAATTGTGGTTATTTTACATCTCTTTGCAAATAATGATTTAACAGTTATTGTGATAATTGATGCTTACTTGGGGCTCGAGATGGTGTTAAGAAAGCGAGAACGTTTTGTTCGCATGATCTTTTATCTCATGTGGAAATCCGTGTGGCGTGAGCAGGGCACCAGCCTCAGCCCTTCACCTGTGCTCATAAATGTTTTGGTTGAATAAATGAGCAAGTGGTGAGAAAGAATGACTAGTTTTGTCTCAGAGCAGAGAGCTGATCTTGGAGAAGTTAAGGTAAGTGTGTGTAGCTCATCACTGGGGTGCAGGTTGGAGCAGGAGCTGACCTTTCTCATCACCCCGCCGTCACCCCAGCTCTACCTTCGTCTTTGCCACGTCAATGTACTCGCTCTTAGTACTTTTCTTTAGGTCAGCCCTCTCTTTCATTCATTCATATCGTCATCTGAATGGAAAACCAGAGTCTTTAGCAAACGTAACCCAGTATCACTGAATTCTTTGTTAAGTTGCTGCGATCCTGGAGCTGGGGGCTGGGTCCCCTTTGGTGAGGAAGGGGGATTATGATGGGTTAGGAATAGTAAAGATCTCTTTCTATAAAAATAAGGTTAGTTTCGTGATACACCCGAAAGGGAGAAGGACAACTGAAAAGCAAGTCGTCTTCCATGCTCCTGCCAACCACAGCACACCTGGACACCGGCAGAGCTGCCCAGACTCGGGGAATCGGATCTAGTCCAACTTCCTCGTGTACAGGTGAGCACGGGGGGCAGAGAGCAGGGCAGTGACAGGCCAGCTGCGGAAACGGGACCCCACCACCCCACGTCCTCGAATTCTTCCCACCCGTGAGGAATGCTGATGCCCAAGCCCTCTCCCCACCGGGAGAAATGGACGGTGTGTGGGGTGTGAAGGAAGAGGCCCAGGGAGCATCTCGGGAGAGGCCCAGTCCCATCCCGCCTCCCCACCTGCAGGCTTGGTGTCCTCCGCGCCGCCCCCCAGTCCTGACACCCTGCTTCTTTGTAACACCCGAGGTGGCGTATACCTGTGTTGTTACTTTGCACCCAGGAAATTCTCTATATCCCTGCACCAGCTGTCCCCAGAGTCCTGCTTGGGGCTGGTTACTTGTCTCTGAAAGGGTTAGTAATTTTTTTTGTGTGTGTGGTACGTGTCCCTAGCGGGAACCGAACCGGGACTCTGGTCCGCAGGCCGCCGCTCAACCGCTGAGCCAAGCTGGCCAGGGCGGGTTAGTAATGTTTTAAAGGGTAAAGGTAAAAGTTTGCAAAAGGCAGAAACTGTGGAAATTGTGTTGCTTGCATGAGCTTTGCTCAGCCTTCTGTTGAGGACGGATAAGGATTATCTGGATTATCCACGAGGCAATGAATCACTCAGCAGATGCCAGACGAGATACCAGACCAGTCCTACTGCAAAGTGGACTGTGGGCCAGGCAGAGGGCATCAGCAGGAACTGCGGAAGCTAGAAGCAGAGTATATAACCCGCACCCCAACCCTGATTCTAGGTTGAACCCTTCTCGGCTCAGCCCGTCTGCACCCAGGCGCTTGCAGTAAGCCGTTTGCTCTGCGTTGGCCTTGTGTGTGGACGTGATCTCTGACCGCTCAGAACTTTCAGTCTCCACGCTCGAGATGCCCAGCACAAGGGGCCACTGTACCCAGGACTGATTTTGGGGTCCGCCCCCCAGTACTCACCGCAAATCTGTTCCCGCACCTCTGGTAGATGCAGCACCCACAGCAGTCATTGTTCTGCAGGTCCAGGAACTGGTTCGCAGGGAGCAGCATCTGCGGCGAGAGAAGCGCTCAGAACCGGCCTGGGGTGGGAGCTGGCCCTGCCGGCCTGGCTGTGTGGGGGGCCACAGCCGTGATGGGGACTCGGTGCCCAAAGGGTACGGCAGGATGGACAGGCGGGCGGGGCGGGGGACCGGTGCTATGGAGTATTTAGACGCCATTTGGCCTGACTGCAGTTTCAATGGAGCAAGATTCTAAGATCTCACACCCCGAGTTTCCTTTTAGATTGTGGGTTAGCAAAAGAAAGAAATATATATCCTCGATGGTCATAAAAGTGTCTCTCTCTCCATCAGAGGCCCCCAGTGTCTCCTGGAAACAAGGAACAAGAAGGCCTTGGCATGTGGGTGGATGAAGAATCCCCTGACACCAGCTTCTCTTGGGTTTTCAGTCCATCAATTTACTGGAGGGTGTTTTCACCACCACCCCTCCCCACAGCCCCTCTCTGGTTAGAATTCAGAAATTCTGTGACCTTCAGCAAAAGATACAATCATCAAAATGGAGAGGCAACCCACTGTATGGGAGAGCATAATTGCCAATGATATATCAGATAAGGGGTTAATTTCCAATATATATAGAGTGCTCATACAGCTCAACAAAAGAAAGACAAAGAACCCAATTAAAAAATGGGCAAAGGAACTAAATAGACACCTCTCCAAACAGGACATACAAATGGCCAAGAGACATATGAAGAAATGCTCATCATCACTAATCATCAGAGAGATGCAAATTAAAACAACAATGAGGTATCACCTCACACCTGTCAGAATGGCCGCCATCAACAAATCATCAAACAAGAAGTGTTGGCGAGGGTGTGGAGACAAGGGGACTCTAGTACACTGCTGGTGGGAATGCAGACTGGTGCAGCCTCTATGGAAAACAATATGATGTTATCTCAGAAAATTTTAAAAACTTCCATTTGACACGGTGATCCCACTTCTAGGAATACACACTAAGAAGCCTGAAACACCAATCAGAAAGAATATATGTACCCCCATGTTCATAGCAGCACTATTTACAATAGGTAAGATCTGGAAACAGCCCAAGTGTCCATCAGTAGACGAATGGATAAAAAAGCAGTGGTACATACACACAATGGAGTACTATGCAGCTGTAAGAAAGAAAGATCTCTTATCCTTTGAGATGACATGGAGGGACCTGGAAAGTATTATTCTAAGCGAAACAAGCCAAACAGAGAAAGACAAGTATCATACGATCACTTATTTGTGGAATATAAAGAACATAACAGTCTGAGGAATGGGGTAGTCCCAGAGATGTGGAAATGGGGTACAGACTGACAATCCCCAGAAGAGGGGGTGGTGGGAGAGAGATAAACCACAGAACTTATATGCATGTGTGCATGAACAATGAACATGGACAACAAACTGGGGACAGGGCAGGGAGGGAGGGGGGGGGAATCAGTGGGGGGGGGGGAGGAGAAACATCTGTAACAAAAATAAATTAATTAATTAACAAAAAAAAAAAAAAAGAAATTCTGTGACCTTCCGCGTGGCTCTGGGAACTTCTCTGGCCCCTGAGAGCTGCCGGCCCCAGTCTAGTTCACTAGTGAACAAGGTGACACGTCCCTGTCAGGTCCGGATGTAGAGGGACGGTCAAGGCACTGACTGTCCACCAAGCCACCTGCCGGGTCCCGTGAGCAACAGAGTCCTCCTGGTCAGTGAGGCCCGACTTCAGAAGAAGGGGAATATCTCCTTCAGGGGGATTTCAAGGTATTTCTACTCACCAAGAGCCCGCTCCCCAGTATTCCTCCGAAATACCAGACCTCTTCCGAAAGGTGGCTGGCACTGTCTATCTCTTTTCCTCCAGGGAAGAATAACAGGATGCTCGCCAGGAAGGCGATCATGGCGAGCAGGGTGAGGGTGCAGCCCAGGCACTTGGCACATACCCCGCTACACATGCCGGGGCGATGGTACAGGGATGGGCAGACCCTCCCTCCCCACCTCCTGCCTGGGCTGTCTTCACAGGTACAGGCCAGGGCGTCCTGGTAAATGTCCCCAGTCCAATCCGTTTTGGAGCCGAGACGCACAGCTTCCTGTGAGCTGTGTCCGTGGAGCTGGTTCGGCTTGTCCAATGGAGCAGAGCCTTGTGGTGACGGCTATTTGTACACGCTCCCTGACCTGCAGTCCCCTTTGGTTTGTGACCCGTTCAGAGTGATGGTTCTGCCATGGAGACTAAGTATGTCCACAGACTGTGGTTCTATCAGGATACGCTTTTTGCCCAAACTGGGTTCAGTGATTAAATGCGCTTAGGTACAGTGGCTTCAACAATATAGAACAGATTTCTTTACTGCGAGACATCCCAGAAGCTCCGTGTGCTCACAGGCATTGTGACTCATGCATTGTGAGATGGGCAGGTGGCTGGGGGCTGTGTGGAGGGAGGGGGTGATCTGCAGAACCACTTTATAAACTGCTTGGAAATGGATCCCTAGAGCCATCCATGAAGACAGCCTTCTAATAACATGGTTCAAAGAACGCCTCACTACTACCTCTGATCATAAAGAGGGAGGATATGGGTACATATTATAAGGAATCAGGGGCGCCGCTGAAAAACAGAGAAGAGACTGGAGAGCCAATCAGCTGAATAAACAGGGATCAGGCTTTATTGGGTACACTCCGGGGAGGTTCACAGACTCCGGGGGTCGAGTCCTAGAAGCCGGGGCTCTCCGGTTCTGCCTGATGCTGGGGTGTGTGCTTTTTTATATCTGCCCATTGCAGCTGAGATTGGTCTGTTAGGGTTTGGCCTTGCGGGGGCTATGCATGGAGCCTCTGAATGTGAGTCGATAAGAGCAGGATGGGAGTTAGTCTATAAGCTCGGGGCAGGCCGTTCCCGGAACAGGGTGGGAGGCAAGGCTGAGCAAGTGAAACAATGGTCGAGCAGTTTGCCTGGCGCCAGTTCCCAGGCTATCGGACATTCCCGACTCTGTGATATAGGAATAGGGGTGAGGTCGTCTTTCTGGCTACTTCCTGCTGGGCAGGGGCAGTGTTAGGGGAGGGGGCCCGAGTCGGCGTGGTCCGAGTCCGGGGGACTGGTCAGAGGCTGGTATTGTTGTAGCATCATTTGGTGGACTTCTAGTGTCCATGCGAGTTGTGAGAATCGGTCCTGAATGAAGCAAAGAAAACGGGGCAATTAGCAGTGTAATTATTATGAGGAGGACCAGGCCGAGGAGGGGGGAGAGTAAGGAGTACACAGAGGATTTCCACCAGGGGGAGGCATCTGCTGAGAATTTTTGTTAAGTTCTGAGCTTAGCTGGTGGAGGGTTTCAACGCGGGTTTCTACCAAACCTGATTCGTTGATATAATAGCAACATTCTTCCCCAAGAAATAGACAGGTTCCTCCGAGTTCTGCTGTGAGGAGGTCCAGGGCTCTCCGGTTCTGCATAGAATGTTGGGCTAGAGAGGTTATTTGTCTTTGAAGAGAGGCCAAGGACTCCGCTGAGCTGTCAATGGTTAACTGGAACTGGGATGCAAGCTGGGCGGGAGAGATTAGGGAGTTTGCGAGTGAAACAGGAGTGTGGTGGGAGGCAACGGTGGGGGTATCCGTGTCCCACACCTCGGGGCAGACTCCAGGTAGGAACTGGATTTTGGGGTCTGGGTTAGGCTCAAGGTTGGGACCTGGCAGCAGTGCCAGCAAGAAGGTCTATTTCGGGGAGAACGAGATGCTTGCCTGGAGTTTAGACAGAATGTCTCTCCCCAGGAGGGGGACCGGACATGAGGGCATGACTAGGAAGGAGTGGGAGAACGGGTGACCCTCAAATAGGCAGTTAAAGAGAGTCGTCCGCCGTGGGGTCGAGGGTGATCCCTCGACTCCCATGACCGAGACCTGGGAAGGAACCATGTGGCCCGAATGAGAGGGAAGGACAGAGTAGGTAGCTCCTATGTCTATCAAGAAAGAGAGAGACTTACCCACTACCTGGAGCGTGACCCTGGGCTCGGCGAGGGTAACCGGAGTCGAAGAGCCAGGGCTGCCTCAGTCGTCCATAAGCCCCAGTAGCTCCAATGCTGGGAAATCCTGGGTCTCATTTCCTCTGCACTGAGGTGCCGAGGACTGAGCCAGGGTTGGGCAGTCCGACTTCCAGTGTCCCATCATTTTGCATTGGGGGCAAGGCTTGGTGGGGGGCCTAGGTTGCAGACAGTTCTTTGCCCCGTGGCCTTTCTTCCGCATTTAAAACAGGCGCCCGGGGGCATGCGCTGCCCTCCTTTGGAGGTCAGTCCTTTTGCCGGTTCCCCTGCCGCCGGAGGGCCGCTACCAAGGCTTGAGTCTGGAGGCTGAACTGCTGCTGCAGCTGCGCCTGCCGGGCCGCTTCAGCCATCTCCTCTCGGGCGTTAAAAACTTTAAAAGCCATTTTTACCAGGTCTCGGATGGGAGTCTCAGGGCCCTCCTCAGCCTTTTTTAGTTTCTTTCTGATATCAGGGGCGGACTGGGAGATGAAGTGGGAGGCACGGACAGTGGCCCCACTGGGGGACCCTGGGTCTAGGCGGGTGTATTTGACCAGGGCGTCCTGAAGTCGATTAAGGAAGAGGGCTGGATTTTCGTCAGGGTGCTGGGTGATCTCTCTCATTTTGCCGTAATTAACTACCTTATTGGAGACTGCGTCCATACCCCGAAGGAGGTATCGGAACATGAGGTTCCGGCGCGGGATATCAGATCCAGGGCCAGGCTGATAGTTCCGTGCAGGATCGTCCTGGGGAGCTGCTTCATTGCCGAGGGGGACAGTATTGTCTACTAGGTGGTCCCTATCTGCCTGCTGTCGAGCCGCCGCTAGGATGCGCTCGTGTTCTTCAGGGGTTAGGGTGGAGGTACAGATAACCCGGATGTCATGCCAGGTCAGGTCATATGTCTGACTCAACTACCGGAACTCCCTGATGTAAAGGGAGGGGTCGGCCGAGAAAGAGCCCAGACGTCTTTTGATTTGGGAGAGATCTTGTAGAGAAAAGGGGACACGGACCCTAACTAGGCCCTCAGACCCTGCAACCTCACAAAGGGGAGCAAGGACAGCGGGCCCCGTGGGCGTGCAGGACCGGGTGTGGGCAGCGACAGAGGAACTAAGGGGATTATGGGGGGGGTGTACCCAAAAAGCCCGAATATAAGGGACTTCAGAATCTTTTTTGGTGCCTTGTGTAGACTCCGAGAATATCCCAATTTGGAAAAGTTTTCAAGGAGACACCTGAGGGGGGTCTTACGGTTGAGTCTGGATTCGGAATTGCCCATGGCGACAGATTAGAGGGGCTTTGAGTGTCGGGAGAGCGGACATACAAAAGGCGTCCCTTTCGAACGCCCGTCCCCGGACGGATGTCTGTCCTGGACGGACAGGGTGGTCGTGAAGGAGCCTCAGGCGTTCCTAGAAGCAGCTTCGGACTGGGAGTTCCTGGCACTCCGGCGGAGAGGCGGGGGCGTCCCGACTTGGCTAAGGTTTGGACGGGAGACCCGAGCCCCGGACGACAGATCAAAACCCCAGAAAAAAGCAAAACGGTTTTGGAGCCTGGCCCCGAAAACCCCAGAGAAAGAGTGAAACGACTTACGGTTTAGGAGCCTGGCTCCGAAGTCGGTGCTGGGTCGAGGGAGATTCCGAATCCAGAAGACGGGTGGCAGCGCAGGGAGAGGAGGGGGACTCTCGTCCCGACTAAAAAGGCCGAGCCAGGTCACAAAACCCTCGCTCTTTTCTCTCTCCGGGTTTCTTTTTTCCCGGGTTTCGGCACCAGATGTAAGGAATCGGAGGCGCCGCTGAAAAACAGAGAAGAGACTGGAGAGCCAATCAGCCGAATAAACAGGGATCGGGCTTTATTGGGTGCACTCCGGGCGGGTTCACAGACTCCGGGGGTCGAGTCCTAGAAGCCGCGCCCGATGCTGGGGTTTGTGCTTTTTTATATCTGCCCGTTGCAGCTGGGATTTGTCTGTTAGGGTTTGCCCTTGCGAGGGCCATGCATGGGAGCCTCTGGAATGTGAGTCCATAGGAGCAGGATGGGAGTCAGTCTACAAGCCCGGGGCAGGCCGTTCCGGGAGCAGGGTGGGAGGCGAGGCTGAGCAAGCGAGACAGTGGTCGAGCAGTTTGCCTGGTGCCAGTCCCCAGGCCATCGGACACATACAAGTTTGCATTTAAATCCCGAGGTTACAGCCCTGTGAGAAGGTGTTTAATGCCGGTAGGGCCTCTCTTCTCTCACAAACCAGCTCTTCATGCCGCTGTCTCGGGAAGGCACAGATCCTAGGTCAGACCCACAGGGCCTTCACCTGCACCTGTCCTGTCTCCCGGGCTTGTCCCTCCGCACCGTGTCTGCCCTGAGCAGTCCCAGGCCCCCGGCGCCTCTGCATCTCCCGTGAGCCAGCATCACCAGCATCACCAGCATCACCAGCACCACCAGCATCACCAGCACCACCAGCACCACCAGCACCACCAGCATCACCAGCACCACCAGCATCACGAGCATCACCAGCACCACCAGCACCACCAGCACCACCAGCACCACCAGCATCACCAGCACCACCAGCATCACGAGCATCACCAGCATCACCAGCACCACCAGCATCACCAGCATCACCACCTCAGTGGCAGCTGAAGTTTTGCCCAGAGACGAAATAGTTGAGACCTGCAGGCACAGAGCAAATGAAGGCGAGACTTGTGTTAACACTTGGACGGTCCCTCTTTCCAGAGCTGAAACAGGAGTCACAATGGTTTCCTTTCGTTGTGTTGCAGGAGAAAGCGCAGGGCAGACACCCCTGAGCATCAATCCTCAGCAGACCCGTTTCCCTGACTTTCTGGACTGTCTTCCGGGCACCAACGTGGACCTCGGAACCCTGGAGTCTGAGGACCTGATCCCCCTCTTCAGTGACGTGGAGTCGGCTCTGAACAAGAGCGAGCCCTTCCTCACCTGGCTGTAGTCGCTGGCACTGTGCCGTGCCTGC